CCCCCCCCCATTTGTAAACAATACAAAGATTCATTTTTACTAGGGGACTTGAAATATGATTGAAGAAGGCCATAACATTTCCCTATGCAGATTGGGCATATTTAAATTGGGTACTATAAAAGAGTGTTCTGCATCTTTCTTTATTTTGAGATGAATAACTGTACAATTAACTTGAATGTTCTATTCCTTGAATATTTCCTCCAGACAAGCAAAATTGTACCCAATTGGAGAAATAACTTAGAAATGTGTAAGTTATCTTGTCTTTTATACCACTTAATGCTATTGATACTTTGACTTAAACGCTAAGGGTCATTCCTTTAGTCTTTTTATTTTATTTATTCAAAGGAGATGGTATTCAATCCTCAAACAAAAAACTTATGTTTTATAACTTATACATTTCGGATGTAGCAATATCATATATTGTAACCAAACAAACGTAAGATCTCTTGAATCTGCTCAATTTGAAACTTTACACAATGCATACTTTATAATACCAGAAATGTACATGACGTGGAGCTCATGAAGTGCTTTGTCACTTGCTCATTAAGTTTGTTTGTTTGTTTTTTTTTTTTTTTTTAACATTTTCTTTAGCATGTTGAAAACCTAGCTTGGGCAGTGTCCACTTTTTTTACATCCTCTTTATCTTGTGATGCAGGTCACCAATGAAACATTGGAATTTCAGGAAGAAACAAAAGAGGAATCGGATGAAGAGGAGGATGATGATGAAGAATCTGGACGACTGCGTTTCAAAACTGAACGAAAAGAAGGAACAATTATTAGGCTTTCAGATGTTACAAGAGAGAGAAGAAACATTCCTGAAACTTTGGGTAAGATTCTGTGGCAGTTGCTGCAAAAAAGGACAGTAGTAGAAGGAGCTAAAAGATTAGGTGGCTTAAAACTTTCTTCACTATTTAATGCATTTCCAAAGAGCAGAGAGAACATATCTCTTCCATTAGCTTGCTTTATAACCAGCTGTTCTTCTGTAGCAGTGTAATGATATGCTGTAAAAAGCCAGTGCATTGTTTACTCATTGAAACTTTGTAGTTCCTTAAACCAGTACAGCAGCTGCCTGTACACTTGGAATAATCCATTACTGTTCTAGTATGTGTACCTTTTAAATGTTCAGAGTTTTCACTTGATAACGCTTACAATTATGGTGTAGTTTTCTCTAGTTTAAAACCAACTTAATGGGTTTGTGTAGCAGCACTGAACATATATTTGGTGCATCTTTTTAGTACTTAAGTGGGTAAAGGCATTCTTTGGTTAATCCCAGTAAGACTTTTTCATCAATTAGCTAATGAACTGATAAAGCACTGTGTGCAGTTCCAGTAAAAATAAAGAACTGATTTTTTGCTGTCCCCAACTCGACCCTGTTTTAGCTTGTCTGTGTAAATAAAATTACATTTTGTTAGCTTTTAAGGGTTTATTTCAAGGCAGCAGATTATTCCCGAAGTGTTCAATTACAATTTAAATTTTTTTTTTACCGTATTTAGTTGAATACAAGATGAGATGTGTCCCCCTCCCCCCCAGTTTAACATGCTGTGGGTTGGGGGAATTCACTCATTTTATAATCGCATGCAAGGAATCCTCACTAAATACTAGAGGTGCACAGATGCATCGGTCAGATGTTGCATTGGTACTGATATGAAGAAAATTGTCTATATCGGCCCTATGGGGCTAATAAATACCCATGCTGTGCGCAGCTCCAGTGCAGCACAGCACAGAGCAGAGCCAGCAGTCTGGAGAGCTGCCTCCAGCTGGTAAGTCAGAAGGGGAGGGGGCAGATCAGTGCCCCAGCGGTGAGGGGGGGCAGGGGCAGGCACTGCCAGGTGGGGT